TTCTTAAAAAGTACTTTAAACTGTATAAATACAATTGAAAGCGATTGACCAATCAGAAGAAAGTTATCCTATATACCAGGTTGGAGTTCGCAACCTAAATAAACCGAATAAAGTCTAATTTGTAATCCATCAACAAACCACCAGACCTACTGTAACATATGATTCAATAAATCCTGCTTAGCTGTTAAATTCTTAATTTGACAATAAAAATAAAGTTTTAATTTATAGCGTTGATTTAACAAATTTGATTGGTTTTTAAACTTTACATTGTTGAACTAAATTTTACTTCGATTATTATAGAAATCTCAATTTCAACAGTAACGTCATAATTCAAAAAAAGTATCGGATTGAAATCCTGATCCATCGCCTCTTTCACCTAAATCTTGTGTACCATGGCTCATTATAGTATGATTACTATTTAGTAAAATGGATGAATTATGATCATTGTTCATGGGAAATGTCATGTAATTTGATGTTTGATCTTGATGAGAAGAGGAATTTGAGTCAGATGACGATCCCATCATAGAAATCGACGAAGTACTTGTTAATGAAGGATGATTAAACGAAACGGTGCTGTTTATGTTTGTATTCGAAATTTGATGATGTGTACTAACACCAATCATTTCCCATTCACCTAAGTAAACATTATCAGAACCGTGTTGAGAGAATTCAATCATATTTTGATTAAGCTCGTTGGTCCCATAATAATTTGATGACGGAACAACAGGTGGTTCTGCAAGCGATCTACCCAAGGACGCCATGGTGGACATATCCATATATTGGTGGTTTGGCAATTCGCCACCTTGAACATGGTGACTAGGTGGTTGTTGAAATTGATGGGATGGTTCAGGTGTAGGATTTATTTTAAATATCCGTGGGGAATCACGAGGCAACGAAGTTAAATAAGATGATGGAATTAATTGATGTGAAAGTTGATCAACGTATGTAGATTTGTGGGAAGTAGGTTGTGTCATCTGTTGATGAGATGATGGTGCGGACGTAGTATTTTTTGAAGATTGTTTACGCGTATGGTTTTTTATTGTTGGAGACTTTTTGGTTCTGATAACAGGCGTTGGGACCGACAGGTTAGATTCACCTCTAATGTCAATAGGATCTTGCTGCATTAATGGAGATGGAGTAGAAATCACTTGGGCTTGATCAACACCATCTACATTAATATAGTCATTCTCGTTATCATCCAAACCACCTTTGATAGATTTTTGAGCAAAAACTTTTGGATCCCCCATTCTAGACAATTGCATATCATACAAAGCTTTTAGTAATTCATAACATTGCTTTAAACCGCAATTGACTAGATCACCTAATCGAGTTTCCTTTATCAAACTTTCAAGATATTCAAGACATTTCTCCATGTACATTTTTCCGATTTTATACGAATCCAAATCACTCATGTTAATTAAATGTATTGAGCAAGCCTGTGCTATGGAATAAACAATAACTCCATAGGAGACTAATGTATCTCTATTTGGGGATATGTAACTGCACAATTTTGTGATACTTATTGCAGCTTGATTGCATACGCTTCGTGAATTAATATTTGGAAATTCATCTGAATCTATGTAAGGCCTGTGAAGAGCAATGACAACAGTATAATACAATTGGTGTAGATAGGCAGTATAAGGTGATATTGGAGGATCTGGTTCGTTAACGGTACTTGGATTATATTGTAATTGAGGAGGTAAAGCTAACAACCAAGAACTTAGGGTGGCATCAATGGCTGGTAATGTGTTACGCAAAAATCCGGATTGATAGAAGTAAGGTTTTGAGTGTAAAATATTACCGTATATTTTTATAAGTTTTGATTGATGAAAGAAATTGATAATATATTGGGCATCATCACCATCTTCATCAATCTCGTACGGTAATTTAGTATTGTAATCGTATATAGGAAGTGGTTTACTAATATGATCAATTATATATATATGAATATACAAAAAAATTATTGATATAAAAGTTTCAAGAAAATTAAAATATTCAATATACCCAAGGGAAGCACATGCGAGAATTTCTGCATTCATGACTGACCAAAAAACTCTAGTCCTAATTGCTTTTTCAAGTTTGCTAATAGGCCATTTCGAACAGTCACGATGTAATCCCAAATCCATACACATTCTGACAGCCATTCCGATGAACATCCAGATACGACAAGAATGTTTACTCTTTGAGAATTTAAGAAACTTTATTAACAGTGTGCTAATGATAAAGCGAACTATCAGGGAATAAGGAAACTCACATCTTTTACACAAAAGTTGTATAGACAACAAAGAGCCTGAAAATTTATTTAAAGTTTTATCGGATAAAGTTTGAACGGTGACTAAAGAAACTTTATTTAGATTATATGGCAAACCTGTACGGTAGAAAGGCGAGCTCTGTCCATGAAATCATCCATTAGGCCTGCGATTCATAAGATAAAATTTCCAGATGAGTTTTTTTTTTTTTTTTTTGATTTATCGTCAAGATTAATATAAAATGGATATTATACTTAAAGCACGTTCAAAAAAGATGTCGCCGGAAGTTTCCGGTTTTTCCGGATCTGTGCGTGTTCTCGGATCATCTGTAAGAACACTTGCTAAAGTCATCATAGAATTCAATAAGAAAATAGAAGGTTTATTATTTTTATCATTAATCATCTTGATAAATGTTGGTTTATGTATAATAGCAGCTCGTGATCCGTAGCTACGAGTAAAGAAGATTTGTATCAAATGATCCATTAGGTCTTTTGGAGGTAATTCTTGTGAACCCTTGTAAGACTCCGGAAGTGGAGGTTCGACGAATTGTTGGAATTCTTCGGGGACAACGCTACTGCCTTCATTAATTTCAGATGGATCATCTTTATGAATAACAGTAATAAATCTACTACTCTGTTTCAATGAAAGTGAAGACATCGAATCAACTAGCACACTTGTTTGCAAATTTGCATTCATCTTATTTACAGTGTCATGCACATCAATTTCTGGATCTTCATCTGCTTTATCTGGGACTTTATGAATAATAGCTTGCTGTTGAGCATCGGCACCTTCCAGGTATTTCGTTAATACATGTTCAATCTAAAGCGATAGTAAAAATAGAAGACTGTGTAATGATAATATAATGATCGTTAAATCTAAACGACGACTACTATCGCTGATAGAATACCTTGCTCAATCTATCATCGATCGTTTCTACATAACCTCGTTTGCTGCCTGGATGACTATAACTGCATTCTCCATTTACGGACTTACAGTTTCCACAAATGGGATAGTCACCGTCGCATTTAACATGCCTCTTTCGACAACGATCGCAGGCATGGCTTAAGAAAAATTTTTCGTGGTTTATGAAATTAATAAGGTTGTCAGAGTTTTATACAAATTTAATATAGGCAGGCCGAGAAGTCTGAGCTTAAATGTTGGACGAACAGTTAAATTTTCAGTAATAATGTATCAGTTATTACCTGAGTCTCGCTCTTTTTTCCCGTTCGGTCGACATTTTTTTTTTTTCTTTTTTTTTTTTTTTAAAAAAAAAAAGATATTTAATTCCGTAATTCCTATTATAGAAGATTGTTTGTAATTGAGATTTAGGTTATTTGCTTTATTTATACAAATTTCGGTATATACATATATATATGTATATACAATTAATTTGCCATTTTTAATAACTGATAACTGATAAGAATAAAATGTATACGTACGTACGTACGTACGTACATCGCACTACGTATGCAATACACTTGTATATCGCGAGTAACATAAAATTAAACATAAAATAAATTTTTGATATATACGAGGGTTGATAATAACGGGATAGTTTTGATATAGCTTGAGCATATTTTTTTTTAATAAGAGGTTGTTATTAACGCGAGATTGAGGTAGAGTTGACTGTATATGAGTGTCGCTAAAAGAAAACCTTATATTTAAATTTTCGGGTTTTCTTTTAGCGACACTCATATACCATATAAGCTTCTCTTTGGAATTGTACTAAAATGTATATACAGTAATTTGGCAGTAAAATGATCTAATAGTCTGTTTTAAATAAAACAACTACCAAAATGTTTATCTTGATGAGAGGATTCTAATGAATCCAAAATTATTAAAATTCAATTGCTAGATTACAAGATAATTAAAGTTTTTTGCAATATATCATATCTATTGGTTGCCTATAGTCTAATTAATTGTTTCATTCTATAAGTACAGTATACTGCAAAAAAAACTTTATTTTGTATATAATTTAGTAATTTGGACTTATTGAAATCTTTTTATCAAGTCAAACCTTTTTATAATCACACTTTTGGTTTTAAGAATTTGGTATTTATAGAGTTTGTGTTTATATAGAGGTTCAATTTTATAAATATTATATAACAGTTACCTGATTTGTCACAAAATTTATATATAGTGTTTTTTATATATAATATTATAGCAAAAACATATAGAAATACATATAAACTTTGTTGTGATAATGTTTCTTTCCTTATATATTAACTTTAAATTAAATTTTATAAATAAATACATCAAGAAGAGGAGAATAAAATGCTTTCGTAGGTTTAGGTTACAGAAAATTTTGTCTGAGTCTCTATTCTTGACATCCTTAGGATATAAAAGTCATATGTAATTTCTTTCTTGTAAA